ATGGTTACATAGTTTTGGCAGTATTCAAGCTTACATCAAAGCAATATTAGCCTTTTATCTTACATCTTATGAGATGAAGACACTTGACAAAAGAGCAGCATTGTTATTATTTGTTTTTTTCTTTTCTCAACCCTCATTTTGAAACTAGAAATTAGAGTAGATCTATATTTTCTCATCTGAAAGAAAGCTTCAGTAGTTGGAGTAGATTAATTTTCTCAGCTGCTCAAACATAAACAACAATACAATATATAATTATTAGTTATTAATTACCCAATAAATGTGAGGATCGATGAATAAATTAGTAGTGAAGATACCACTAAAATTGGACTCATTGCTTCTATTTGGAAGTGCTGGGTGTAGAAACATGCAGCGTTGGGTGTACAAATGCGCTAATGACGGGTATAATGTAGCGTGTGGGCCTAGCGAATGGGAGAGAGAACATGTGCTGGAAATCAAATCCCGTCATTAATGGAAGACACAAACAAATCTGCGATTGTTGTAATTGCGTTTTCTTATGGGTCCACACGACACAAGCTTTACTAGAGCACTAGCTGATACTTTACTAGACAAAAGTTGAATGACTGAGTTTTCCCATTTGTATGATTGTAATGAATCAATACTTTATCAAGTCACTAGACTAAAGTAGAATGATTGAGTCTTCCAATTTACTAGAAGGTAGGAGAGAAAACATGGGGAGGGCTGGATTTATGGGGTGGCCACGTGCTTCATCGTCGACTTGGCAGCGAGAATTTTGGGTTCTTTGTTGATTTGGCAGCGAGATTTTCTGTTTCTTTCTTTAGTCCTAACGTTTTATACATTTGGTGCTTTTTGGGTCTTTCGTTTTTGATTATTTTGAAGCGAAACTTAGGCTTGATTGCAAGAAGTTTGAGCATTATCGGACCAAATGTGTAAAAGCATTGGAAATTCTGCAGATTTTAGTCAGCCAAATTTTGGGGAAAACCAAATCCTTGGCATGGCACTACAACAAAGCTCAGTAAGCTTTCATTGCAAAACAGTAGAAAGGAGATCGAAAGGGCTAATTTGTTTGCAGAATTGAATCCTGATCTGTATTCAGGGACTGCCACGAGCAGGATGAGAAGATGAGGGAGGGAACCGAGGAGACAGAGGAGAAAGAGAGGGAGACAGAGTAAAAGATTGGAAAAGCGGGGACGGTCGATGGTGCCGGAGTTCACGTCGATCAGTTAAAGATGTCAGGGTGTAGCCAGAGAAGGCGTTAGGGGTGTGCAAAAAGTGCAATTATAGGGGGCTCAAATTTTTGAAAGGCCACAAAATTTTGGATTCTCCTAAATATTACATATAAATTTTCTAAGAGCAAGCCCAGCGTTGGGTTTGCCTCGGGGGACAGTGGAGAAAACAAGGGCCCGAGGGTCGGTGGGAGGGCTCCAGCGTGGGCTAGCCCAACCGAAGGTGGAGGCCCGAGCTCCGGGCCCGTGGTGAATTGCCAGCTCGAGAGCCTGAGGGTTATGTGACGTCAGGTTGACGTCAGCCTGGCGTCAGGGAATATTAAATTTTTTTTGTGTCAGGCGCGTGCACCCCACTCGCGCGTGGGGGCGCGTCGCCGACACAAAAATCAGAAAAAAAAAAAAAGTTTGTTAGTTACCGTTGGGAAGCCACGTGGCTTCCCACGGTCCGTTAGATCTCAACGGTTACTTAATTTGGACCGTTCGATCTCAACGGTAAAAAAAAAAAAAAAGTCAGATTTAATATCCACCGTTCGATCTGAGATCAACGGTGGATATTAATATTCTTTATAAATAAAAAATAAATGAAAAAATAGTTTTAAAATTAAGAAAAGTTACCGTTGTGACACGTGGCACAATCTGGAGTGTTGGAATTCAAATTTTTTTATATCCAACGGCAGAGATTAATTAATTGAATAAAAATTTAAAAAAAATTGTAAAAAATGTAAAAAAAATTCAAAAAAAAATCTGAAAAATCTGAAAAAAAATGTAAAAAAAATTGTTTTTACTTTTCTATAAATACCTTCTCATTATCATCTACCTTACACAACAATTTCATATTTTCTCAACTACTTTCAATCACATTCCTTTCTTTGTCTCAAAGTTTGAATCTTTTTTTTTTTCAACAAAATGACCACTGGTGCAGGTACGAATTGGTCGCTTATTGAAGATGTTGCGTTGTGTACTAGCTGGGTTGAAGTTACTCATAGTTCGCTTACGAGTAATGAGATGCAGTTGCGGAGTAATGAGATGCAGTTGCGAGAGATGTGGAGTCTTATCCAAAATTACAAATAAAATTATTTTGTATTATTTAATAATACTTCGGATAATGACACGTGGCGCAACGAGAACGATTAAAAATCTTATCCGATATTACAATTAAAATTATTTTGTATTATTTTATAAATAAAAAAATACTAATATTTTATTGCTAATTGCCAGGGCTATTGAAGTGTAACGGTGGAGATGCAAATTCTATTGCCAGGGCTATTTACTGTTCATTAAGGGCAGTTACTGTTCATTAGGTGGATTGAATAGTGCATTGCCTGGGGGGAGGGCTCCAACGCTGGAGTTGCTCTAATAAGAAAGTTTTTAACTGAAAAGAAAAATCATCGTCATGTGATTTTATCTATACTACAATTGATTAAGGAAAGCTTATATTTAATATATTAAATTTTCACTTTGCCCTAGCATATGTGTATTACTTGTATTAACTGTCTTCCACCTTTTTTTTTAACAATAAAAAACTAACTTGTGTGTTATTTTCTCCAACAAAAGCAAGCATATTTCCTTATCTTTCTTTCTATCGTGCTCTATTTTTTCATGAATGAACCCTAAATCATGATTTCATGGTAATTAGAAAATTATTCAATTAGTAAGAGTGAAATGCCGATTTCAATTAAATTTGAATATTGATTATTGAACTCCTTACGAATATATTGTCGAACAAAGTTTATCTTTTTCAAATAAAGAGGGTTTTTTTAATAAATGCGCACATGACCCTCAAAATGTCAGAGACGACCTTGGATGTAGTTTATTAGCAATGGTAAGATGTTTCTTTGGTTGGTGTGGACATGAAAATACAATGCTACCCAACATTTTAATAAATCTTTAACAGAAACTTGCGTTTAGATTAAATTTGTTAACAGTCTTGATTATAGGAGTTTAATTCTAATTTTTTTTTTATCCCATAAGCCATCGTGCAAGTATCTTATGACCACAACGATAATTAATCCAATTGGGTCTAAATTTTAATTTTCTACGAGAGCCAAAGTCGAAAAATGGAATTGAAAAATACCAACACAATGTAAAGGACCCAGTTGGCATTAAAAGTCAAATTTCAATTATAAAGACCAGCAGTAATATATTCACAAGTCCTTGTTTTTATTTTATAGTAGCGTGTGGGCCCCGGGAGTGGGAGAGAGAACATGGGGGAGCTGGATTTATGGGTTGGCCACGTGGTCGCGTGGGAACACAAAAGTAGACGAGAAGAAAAGTAAAGTGAACCAACGCCTGTAATTTGTGAGAATAGATGAAACTAGATGAAAACCCTAAACCTCGAAGACCAAGATTTCTTAAAACGAAAAATCGAATTAGATGGAACAACCACACACAAATCATCGAAAAAAATAAGAAAAGATTTGAAAGAAAAAACTCACAGACCTTAATCAGGGGTTTGCAAGGTTGTACAAAAAACCCCTAAATTCGCACACCAATTTTCCTGAAACAAAAAAACCCAATCAGATTAAACAACCACACTGAAAACACAAATTTTCTTCCCAATCAGAGAAAAGATGATAAAAAAAAAAAAAAAAAAAAGCAGAGAAACCACCTGAAACAATACAATCAGCGGGAAAAAGAAACTCTTCACACAACACACGATCGATGATCAACGCGGCGAGAGAAGCAGGGAAACACGAAGGGTTGACGCAGGGAGAAAAGCACAGAAAGGAAAGAAAGGAAAAAATGACGGAAGAAAATGGAAGAGCCTTCGAGTACCTTCCTCACCAAAAATGAAAAGGAACGGTGGAGAACTCTTCGAATCAGACTAACGTGTCAACATCGCTTAGAAGCAAACAGGCAGGCATGCGCAGCACCTATGATGAAGGGCAAAATGGCCAATTTACTGCACAATCCCACTAAAGCAGAAAAACCATGAAGAAACTGAGGGACGAAACCGGAACGGCACTGTTAATGAACAGTGCCAATCCACCGGCTTTTAGAAGCAAACAGGCAGGCACGTGCAGCACCTATGATGAAGGGCAAAATGGCCAATTTACTGCACAATCCCACTAAAGCAGAAAAACCATGAAGAAACTGAGGGACGAAACCAGAACGGCACTGTTAATGAACAGTGCCAATCCACCGGCTTTTAGTATATATAGAATATTAGGGCCGGATGAGGCTGCTTTACGAATTTTATTTTAGAAAAATTAATAAAAATGCTTTGAAAATTTTGACTTTTAATGATAAGAATAAAATAAATGGTAAATAGTATTAGAATTGACTTTTTAATGTAAAAATGTGGTTTTTCGTTAAAATGAACAGTACCGCGGGTTTTTTTGTTAAAACTTCCTTTTATTTTTGGGATTTTAGAGTTTCTTACATTTTAATTGTTCATTGTATATCACGCAGTCATTTTTTTTAAAGTATTATTTGTATTTAATTTTAAATAAAAAATTCAAAACAATTTTTAACCGCACGATATATTATAAACGGTTAGAATGCAAAAATATTTAGAATCCTCACAATTTAAATCCAGATGTGATCCAAATCCAAATATTAGTACTGAAGATAGCTATAAAATTGCAAATGGCTCTAAAAGTCAACTTTCAATTACACAGAAAAGCAGTACATATTCACAAGTATTTGTTTATATTTTATACAGGGAATGGTGCACGAGTAGTCGGATGAGAATGGCATATAAAGACGGGCAGGAGGATACATTTTTCAGTACCCAAAACCATATTCTCGTTTAATTGACCTTGCATGTGTTTTTGCTTGTCTTGAATCCAAGAAATGGCGGAAGGAGTTCTCTTCAACATTGCAGGACGGATCACCCAGAGGCTAGGCTCCCTTGCTTTCCAAGAGATTGGATTGGTTTGGGGTGTCAAAGATGAGCTCCATAAGCTTAAGGAGACAGTTGCTGGATTCCAAATTGTTTTCTTGATGCTGAGCAAAAGCAAGCCAACAATAATGAAGTTAAATTGTGGCTCCAAAGCGTAGAAGATGCAGTTTATGAAGCCGATGATGTGCTCGATGAGTTTAATACTGAAGTTCGGCGGAGACAAGTTATGCGTGGCAATACAAAGTTGTTAAAAAAGGTACGCCTCTTGTTCTCTAACTCAAATCAACTTGTTTTTAGACAAAAAATGGGTCATTAGATAAAATATATTAACAAGAAGCTTAGAGCGGTTGAATCTCATAGAACCTTTTATAGTCACATAGCCTATTGATATCCACCTATTAGGAATACAATATGTCTCCCAATAACTTATAATTAACTACAACAAGTCCTCTACATTTTTATTTTGAATGTTTCATATATAACTCATCGTTACAAAACTTTGTTAACTTAATTAATTAATATAGCTCTATCGAAATAATGGTTTTCTACTCAAATTCTTACATGAACCTTTTCTTTTCTATCTTAAATCAATGTCTTTTGGGGTAAAAGATGGGTTATAAGATAAAAGATAGGAATAATTAGGATCGGTTCCTAGTCACCAATGTATTTTTATTGAAATATTATTAGTTTTAAATTTTTGATTGAAGTCCTTTTACTTATGTCCACGTCAAATTCTTAAAAAATAATCAAATTTCACGTCAGATTTTCCTTTTTCTTTTTCTTTTTTTTTAATTTTAAAAAACTCATTTATTCATTTCCCTTTATGTCATTTCTGTTTAGGATAAATGATTATTTACACAATTTAAGGAATTTTGTTGCAGCTTGATATCCCCAGAATCCTTTTAATTTGAAATTTAAATATGAATTTCTTTTGGCTGAATTTACTCCATCTTTTATCCTAATCATGAGTATATTATATTTACTAGAGCGCATATGGATACTTTTTTTTTTCAATCAAAATGAGTACATTCTTTTGAAACTTATATATAATTGTACTCATGTAATTATACGGGTACATTCTTTTTATAAAATAAAAAAAAGTTAGGTGTACACACATATTAAAACAATTTCCTTTTGGGAGGATGTTGGAATTGTACCATAATTATATATGGCAATTGTATGGGTACATTCTTTTAACCAGTAAATACTATTATATCATCCGTATCAATGTAATGGGAACAAATTGCAATTGTTTTTTTTTTTCCTGAGTTGAATGTATTTTTTAGTCTCACTGATACATTTCTATGCAAAATGTACTCATATATATAACAATTATATGGATTCGTGTCTATGAGGACCCAATTATATTTGTACGTTGTTTTTATGCGTTTAGAATGTACCACTTGATTATTAGTAGATTAATGTTCTGTTGGTTTCAAATTTTACTATTTATTGTGTCTTTTATACTTTTTAAGGAATCATTTATTATAAAATTTGAAGTCCATAAATTAAGGAATTTTCAAAATCAAGAGATTTTATAAAATTTAAAAAAAAAAAGAAAAAAAAAGCTAATATCGTTTGAGTCAAACTGGATCCAAAGTCTACCTAAAAGATATTGACGAGAGGCTTTGCGTGGTTGAATTTCGTAGAACATTTCGTGTGGTTGAATCTCGTAGAACATTTTTATAGTCGCATAAGTCTATTGATATTCACCTATTAGGAATGCAATATCTCTCAATAACTCATAATTAACCACAATAAATCTTCTACCTAATTGTTTTGAACGTTTCATATAACCTAACGTTACAAAACTCTATTAACTTAATTAATACAATTTTATCGAAATAATGATTATGTCTCCTCAAATTCTTATAGGTGCGGCTTTTCTTTTCTAGCTCAAATCAACTTGTTTTTGGACTGAAGATGGGTCATAAGATAAAAGATATTAATGAGAGGCTTCGTGAGGTTGCATCTCGTAGAACCTTTCACTTAGAAGTAGATCGTGAAGATACACAATTTAAAAGGAGAGAGAGGGTCACTCACTCATTTGTCCCTAAAGAAAATATTATTATAGGGAGAGATAAAGATAAAAAGGCAATTATCCAACTCTTGTTGGATCCCATCTCAACTGAGAATGTGTCAACCATTTCCATAATTGGAATTGGAGGATTGGGGAAAACTGCACTTGCCCAACTCATATTCGATGATGAGATGATTCAAAATCATTTTGAGTTGAAAATATGGTCATGTGTCTCTAATGTATTTGAGTTGGATATAGTTGTTAAGAAAATCCTTCAATCCGAACATAATGGGATAGAGCAGTTGCAAAATGAACTTAGGAGAAAAGTAGATGGGAAGAAGTACCTACTGGTGCTGGATGATGTGTGGAATGAGGAGCGAGAGAAATGGCTTAGCTTGAAGTACTTGTTAATGGGTGGTGGAAAAGGTAGTAGAATCCTAATAACCACATGTAGTGAAATCGCTGCGACGACATCAGACACAACTAAACCATACACCTTAAGGGGCTTGGATGGAAAGCAAAGTGGGTCTTTATTTAAAAAAATGGCTTTTATAGATGGAAAAGAGCCAGAGAATTCAACAATTAAGGAAGTTGGGATGGAGGTTGCAAGAAAATGTCAGGGAGTTCCACTTGCTATAAGGACGATAGGTGGGATGTTGCGCACCAAACATCACGAAAGAGAATGGTTGAATTTCAAAGAAAAGAAACTTTCAAAAATAAGCCAGAAAGAAAATGAAATTTTACCAACACTTAAATTGAGTTATGATGTGCTCCCATCACATTTGAAGCATTGTTTTGCTTATTGTAGCTTGTTCCCACCTGATTATGAAATCTACGTACAGAGATTGATTAATCTTTGTCTCCGTTCAAGATATTCAAGCACACTCCATGGCTTCAAACAAAGAACAAGTCATGACCATCGGCACTACCTCCATTGAAAAACAGCTGGTTCAGATGAAGGAAACAATTGCAAGGCTGATAAAGACTGTGGAAGAGAAAAACTTGCAAACCACCGGACTCATCAACCGTCTGGAGGCGCAACATGGCGTCAAAGTGAAACCAAGCTCTCTTCCAACTAAGAAGACTGAAGAAGGCTTTAACCCAAACACCTACGAACTCATGTCAAAGGCTGGGCATGACTTTGCTTTCTCTTCAAATCTTGGAAAGAAGGTTTCAAACATCGTCAACGACAAAGATCGTGACCTCACTAAGGCTCAAAAGAAGTTGAAGGAGCATGATTACGGAGTTGAGAACAACAAAGCTGGACTTAGCTTCACACCAAATGCACCCGTGAAGATTTCAAGCAAAGTGAAGAAAGCTAGTGCTCAACACATCAGCGTGAGCATTGAACAAGACCAAAAAGAGCCTAAACCCGCCCCTCGGACGTCGGTCTTCGATAGGATGAGCCATTCAAGCTCCAGAATTTCAGTGCTTAATCACATTGGTAGTCAAGACCGAACCTCTGTCTTCAAGAGGCTTAACGCGCCAACATCCCAAAACTCTGTTTTTGAAAGGTTCTTAAAGCCTAAGAAACAAAGCAACACAGCTATCTCTCCTCTGCGACGATCAGCTTCGGAAAGATTTGAAGATAATGAGAAGCCTTTTGGAAAGAGGAAGACAACACCAAAGGAAGAAAAGTTCGATGGGTTAGCAGAAAAAGGCGACGTTCGAAGCTTGATTCCTTCAAGAATGAAGCGCCAAGCAATCCTAGAGGTCGACACAAAAGGACCACTGAAGGTAAGGAGGCGCATCATCGTCCACACTGGCAAATCTTCATGCCAACAAACCCAAGAGGACGGCATTGAAGATGAAATCCCTAAGAAAGATGTCACTTCTGGCTCTTTCGACTCAAAGTCTTCACCTCGACTGTTGGGGGCATGCTCCAAGTCAAGTGAAATTGAAGGATGGACTCATGTCACTCCAAAGAAACTACACGAGAAACATATGTCTTCTCCACAAGTGCACCAATCAGAAAGGAGGGAAAGCAGCTTTCGCTAACCTCCAAAGCAATGTGAAAATGTTGAAGATAAGAAAATTTCAACACAAAGATCGTTCATGCGGGATCTTTTCTTCCTCGAAGACTTATTCAATTTCTCGATCAAGACTCCTTGCTTTGAAGATTATGAGGAATGCCTTTCGAAGATCGCTTCGAAGAAATTGGACAAGCAGCAACCATCTTGTCCACAAGTTTATTAGTCGAAAAGGGGGCAAAACAGCTCTTGTCAACCTCCAGAACAATGTGAAAGTGTTGGAGATAATGAAATTTCGACACAAAGATCGTCCATCCCCATCACAATGTGCGACCTCTTCCCAGAAGACTTCTTCAATTACTCGGTCAAGGCTCCTTCCTATGAAGATTGCGAGGAACGCCTCTCCCAGATCCTTGAAGATCCATTCATCAACTGTTCATCCTAAGATTAAGCCCCAGCGGCCCTTTGGATCAACAACACAAACAAATCCACACATCCATTCTTCAAGATCAAGCCCAACGCCCCTTGAAGATCCATTCATCAACTGTTCATCCTTAGATCAAGCCTCGACGGCCCTTTGGATCAACAACTCATCCACGACACACACCCAAAAACCTTGAAGCCTTAAAGTTCTAAAGCTCTCAAGAAAATCCCGAAGGATCAAGAAAGCACTCTTCGTTCTTCGTCAAATCCTCCTTCAAGATCAAGCCCTAACGGCCCTTGAAGAACTCCCACCAACTCAAGATCAAGCCCCGACGGCCCCTTGAAGAAAGTGTTCATCATTCATCATCCGTTCATCCTAAGATCAAGCCTCAACGGCCCTTTGGATCAACAACATCAACAAACCAACACACCAAAACCTTGAAGCCTTAAAGTTCTAAAGCTCTCAAGAAAATCCAGAATGATCAAGAAAGCACTCTTCGTTCTTCGTCAAACCATCCTTCAAGATCAAGCCCCAACGGCCCTTGAAGAACTTCCACCAACTCAAGATCAAGCCCCGACGGTCCCTTGAAGAAAGTGTTCATCGTTCATCATCCGTTCATCCTAAGATCAAGCCCCAACGGCCCTTTGGATCAACAACCTCAACAAATCCACACATCCAATCGTTCTTCAAAATTAAGCCCAAAAGCCCTTGAAGATCCGCTCATCCATCAACCTTCAAGATCAAGCCCAAAAGCCCTTGAAGAAGTCCACACAACCATTCTTCAAGATCAAGCCCAACGCCCCTTGAAGATTCATTCATCATCCGTTCATCCTAAGATCAAGCCCCAACGGCCCTTGGATCAACAAACAAATCCACACATCCATTCTTCAAGATCAAGCCCAAAAGCCCTTGAAGAAAACCAACTGTTCTTTTGAGTTTTCTGGTTTCCTCCAATCGTTGATTTTGATGATGATTTTGCCGTATACAGTTTATGCTCTTGCGGGCCAGGAGCGTTTGGTGCCATTTGTAGTTTCAACTCGTGCAGGCAAGGAGCGTTTGGTGCGGTTTGCAGTTTCAGCTCGTGCAGGCAAGGAGCGTTTGGTTGTCACCTTTTAGGCTCGTGCGAACGAGGAACTTTTTGAATTTGTCAAACGATCTTAAAGAGGCATTCCTTGCAATCTTCATAGCAAGGAGTCTTGATTGAGTGATTGAAGAAGTCTTTGGGGAAGAAATCGTGCATCGTGATGGCAACGGACGATCTTTGTGTCATAATTTCATCATCCTCAACACTTTCATGTAGCTTTAAAGGTTGACGGTAGCTGCTTTGCCCCCTTTTCGATTGGTGAACTTGTGGAAGAGACGTATGTTTCTTGTGCATTTTCTTTAGAGTGACATAAGTCCATCCTTCAACTTCACTTGAATTGACTGACATGGTTTTGGAGCATGCCCCCAGCGGTTGAGGAGTGGTTGTGGCACCAATGGATGCTCCATTTGTGGCGGAAGTGCTCATGCTTCTTCCCTTGGTGGTTGCAAGAACGGCACTGAAGATGAAATCCTTAAGAAAGATGTCACTTCTGGCTCTTTCGACTCAAAGTCTTCACCTCGACTGTTGGGGGCATGCTCCAAGTCAAGTGAAATTAAAGGATGGACTCATGTCACTCCGAAGAAACAGCACGAGAAACATATGTCTTCTCCACAAGTGCACCAATCAGAAAGGAGGGAAAGCAGCTTTCGCCAACCTCCAAAGCAATGTGAAAATGTTGAAGATAAGAAAATTTCAACATAAAGATCGTTCATGCGAGATCTTTTCTTCCTCGAAGACTTATTCAATTTCTCGATCAAGGCTCCTTGCTATGAAGATTGTGAGGAATGCCTTTCGAAAATCGCTTCGAAGAAATTGGACAAGCAGCAACCATCTTGTCCACAAGTTTATCAATCGAAAAGGGGGCAAAACAGCTCTTGTCAACCTCCAGAACAATGTGAAAGTGTTGGAGATAATGAAATTTCGACACAAAGATCGTCCATTCCCATCACAATGTGCGACCTCTTCCCAGAAGACTTCTTCAATTACTCGGTCAAGGCTCCTTCCTATGAAGATTGCGAGGAACGCCTCTCCCAGATCGCTTGACAAATCCACAACAACAACCAAAGCTCCTCGTTCGCACGAGCCTAAAAGGTGACAACCAAACGCTCCTTGCCTGCACGAGTTGAAATTGCAAACGGCACCAAACGCTCCTTGCCTGCACGAGTTGAAACTGCAAATTGCACCAAACGCTCCTTGCTTGCACGAGCTGAAACTGCAAACGGCACCACGCTCCTTGCTTGCACGAGCTGAAACTGCAAACGGCACCAAACGCTCCTTGCCTGCACGAGTTGAAACTGCAAACGGCACCAAAGCTCCGCGTTCGCACGAGCCTAAAAGGTGACAACCAAACGCTCCTTGCCTGCACGAGTTGAAACTGCAAACGGCACCAAAGCTCCTCGTTCGCACGAGCCTAAAAGGTGACAACCAAACGCTCCTTGCCTGCACGAGCTGAAACTGCAAACGGCACCAAACGCTCCTTGCCTGCATGAGTTGAAACTGCAAAGGGCACCAAACGCTCCTTGCCTGCACGAGCTGAAACTGCAAACGGTACCAAACGCTCCTTGCCTGCACGAGCTGAAACTGCAAACGGCACCAAACGCTCCTTGCCTGCAGGAGTTGAAATTGCAAACGGTACCAAACGCTCCTTGCCTGCACGAGTTGAAAGTGCAAATGGCACCAAACGCTCCTTGCCTGTACGAGCTGAAACTGCAAACGGCACCACGCTCCTTGCCTGCACGAGCTGAAACTGCAAACGGCACCAAACGCTCCTTGCCTGCACAAGCTGAAACTGCAAACTGCACCAAACGCTCCTGGCCCGCAAGAGCATAAACTGTGTACGGCAAAATCATCATCAAAATCAACGATTGGAGGAAACCAGAAAATCTTCCAGTCGAACTCAAGATCAAGCCTCGATGGCCCTTGAAGAAATCACAAGTTCGATTCAAAATCAAGTGTTCACCACCCTTGAATCAAATTCAACTCCAGATAAAAGGAGTAAGTTCAGATCTTCGGGAGAGACCAAAAGAATCCCCCAGCCCAGTTCAAGATTAAGCCTGTGGAAAATCAACGATTGGAGGAAACCAGAAGAACTTCCAGTCGAACTCAAGATCAAACCTCGATGGCCCTTGAAGAAATTTCCAGCCCAATTCAAGATCAAGCCTCGACGACCCTTGGGTTGACATCTACATTAAGGGACTTCAAAACGCATCTTCTACACGTGACAAGCACATGTCTACGACGCGCCTTGAAGTGGGGGCATTTATAGACATCGAAATTTCAGTGAAATAAATGTTAACCAAGGTATTAAAATTACAACATTTATTTATTTCACCTACATCACACACTCACTTCACCCTACCAACTCCATTTACTTCACCAACCTCACACACATACTTCACCCTACCAACTCCATTTACTTCACCCTACCAACTCCATTTACTTCACCTACAACATCCACTCACTTCACCAAAAAAATGGATGGTGGTGATTCACTCTCAAAACCTATAAATAGGCTTCTCCATTAAGAGGAAAAAAGACCAATTCACAAATACATTTCTCTACTCCCAAAGTGGAAGAGAATACTCCCCACACATCCAAAATCCTTGAAGCTTTGAAACTCTAAAGCTCTCAAGCATCCAACCCCCAAATTCCCAACAATCCCGAAGAATGGAGAAAGCACTCTTCATTCTTCGTCAAATCCTCCTACAAGATCAAGCCCCGACGGCCCTTGAAGAACTTCCACCAACTCAAGATCAAGCCTCGATGGCCCTTGAAGAAAGTGTTCATCGTTCATCCTAAAATCAAGCCCCAACGGCCCTTTGGATCAACAGCAACAAACAAATCCACACATCCATTCTTCAAGATCAAGCCCAAAAGCCCTTGAAGAAAACCAACTGTTCATTCAAGATCAAGCCTCGACGGCCCTTGAAGAAAACCAACCGTTCTTCAAGATCAAGCCCAAAAGCCCTTGAAGATCCGCTCATCCATCAACCTTCAAGATCAAACCCCGAAGGCCCTTGAAGAAACTTCCATCAACCTTCAAGATCAAAGCCACGAAGGCCCTTGAAGAAACTTACAACTGTTCATCCAAGATCAAGCCTCGACGGCCCTTGGATCAACAAATCTACATCTTACGGAGATAGAATCAGAGGATCAAATTACAAAGAGATCGTAACCCCAAAATCATTAAACACAAAAATATTATTTTGTGCCACGTATTCTTGTTTCTTGTTTCAGAAATTTTCCGTGTTCACAAATTTGTAGACATCGAAATTTCGGTGAAACAAATGTTCACCAATGTATTAAAGTTTTGACGTGTCAGGGCATACATGGCATACGCCACGTGTCGTACAAATTGTACACATGGCATGTGACTCAACAAAATAGGAAGAAATACCCTTGGATGATTAAACAAGTTTTTCTTCTCAATTTGGGCAATGACAAGGTAAGCACATTTCAATCCATTACGGATCAAAGCAAGTTTTTCTCATTTGGGCAATGACAAAGCAAGCACATTTCAAGTTTAAAATTGTATTAAGTGGGAAATTAGGCCATAAATAAGACCACTTCAATTTCAATATTGCATTAAGTGGAAAGTTAGGCCATTTGTTAGACCACTTCAATTTCAATATTGTATTAAGTGGGAAATTAGGCCATAAAGAAGACCACTTCAATTTCAATATTGCATTAAGTGGAAAATTAGGCCATTTGTTAGACCACTTCAATTTCAATATTGCATTAAGTGGGAAAATTAGGTAATAGTGCTTGGGTGGGAAAATTTTGTGGTGGTGATTCACTCTCAAAGCCTATAAATAGGCTTCTCCATCAAGAGGAAAAAACACCAATTCACAAATACATTTCTCTACAGACACCAACAGTTGAAGACGAGTACTCGAGAGCAACGCTAGGTAAGCAACCAGGCAAAGGTTATGGGCAATCAGTTCTAGATCGGAAGTTTGATTTCGGGTTCCGACTGATTGCAAGAACAAGGGCAAAGGAAAAGACAGGGAAAAAAGCATGATATGAGATACCTTTGCTTTCGCCCTTGATGATATGAGATACTCTTGCTTTCGACCCTAATGATATGGGATACGTTTGCTCTCGAAGACTTGGTTGAATAGGTGTTCTCAAGGGAAGAAGAAAACTGAGCATGTTGAGAGGTTTGGTTGCAGCTACATTCTCGGCCGAGAAGAAGAGTCATGCATTTTTGGATGTATGCCTTGCCATGAATATTGACATATATAGGAATTTTAATGGCAAGTAGTAGTGCGGATACGGCTTTGTCAACCGCACTTGTCGGCAAAAGTGTGGTAGTTGGGATAATGACCTCCACGCGTTTTCAACTTTGTCAGAGATCTTTGACAAAGTTGCACGCGTTATCTGAAAAGCCGAGATTGTGTCTGAAGAGTGTAGACGAACTTTACGCAGGAAAATCCGGCTTTTAAGATTTGAAGAGTGGTGTCTCTTCAATTTTTTTTGAATCGGTGGTTGTGTCGCCTCTCCTTTTATAGAGGTATCGATCACCTCCAACATGCACACTTTGAAGATTGCCCATTCGTGAAAATCGTCTCCGATGTATTTTGTTTTAACGGCCCTTTGAGATTTTACTCCATCCAACCCTTCTCTTTTAACATCTTTGAAAATGGCTAACCCATCTAACATTTGCTTAGATTTGAGTCTCAGCAGTGATACGGGTGCGCTGCGTCAGGGTAATGTATGGTGCCCGTCTTTCTTATCTTCTAATGGCCGTCTTACAGGTGAAGACTCTGTGATGAAGGATGCAACAACAGCTACGATAGTAGCTAGGAACCTCCTCACTCCTAGAGATAGTAGGCTGCTTTCAGGACGGTCCGATGAGTTGGCCGTCAAGAGTCCCTAGCTCTCAGTGTTCAGTGTGCGGGCTCTGTGTCCAACATGGGCCAATGCCTACTTGCTCGATCCCGTCAAGTTGAATCATTGATGGCGGAGGTGGAAAATCTTAAACAAGAGATCAAACAGCTTAAGCGCGAAAATAGAGGTTTGCACGTGCTTGCAAATAATTATTCGACGAGCATGAAGAGGAAGTTTGATCAGCTGCAAGAATCTGAAGGTCGAATTTTCCTGCGTAATCTGGAAGAAAGCCCCACTACTTGGCAAAACTCCAAGAGCGGGAGGCATCGAAGATGGATCATTCGAGGCCTCAATACCTGGTGGAACGCTAGATGACGAAGGAAAAAGGTGCATCTGGAAGAAAGCCGCAAGCCTTTGACGGTTCTTGCATAATCTGGAAGAAAGCCGCAATACTTGGCAAAACTCCAGGAGCGGGAAGCATCGAAGATGGATCATTCGAGGCCTCAATACTTGGTGGAACGCTAGATGACGAAGGAAAAAGGTGCATCTAGAAGAAAGCCGCAAGCCTTTGACGGTCACTTTGAATTCAACCTTCAGATTCTTGCAGCTGATCAAGCTTCCTTTTCATGCTCGTCGAATAATTATTTGCAAGCACGTGTAAACCTCTATTCTCGTGCTTAAGCTGTTTGATCTCTTGTTTAAGATTTTCCACCTCCGCCATCAATGATTCAACTTGACGGGATCGAGCAAGTAGGCATTGGCCCATGTTGGACACAGAGCCCGCACACTGAACACTGAGAGCTAGGGACTCTTGAACGGCCAACTCATCAGACCGTCCTGAAAGCAGCCTACTATCTCTAGGAGTGAGGAGGTTCCTAGCTACTATCGTAGCTGTTGTTGCATCCTTCATCACGGAGTCTTCACCTGTAAGAGGGCCATTAGAAGATAAGAAAGACGGGCACCATACATTACCCTGACGCGGCGCACCCGTATCACTGCTGAGACTCAAATATAAGCAAATGTTAGATGGGTTAGCCATTTTCAAAGGTATTAAAAGAGAAGGGTTGGATGGAGTAAAATCTCAAAGGGTCGTTAAAACAAAATACACCGGAGATGATTTTCACGAATGGGCAATCTTCAAAGTGTGCATGTTGGAGGTGATCGATACCTCTATAAAAGGAGAGGCAACACAACCACCGATTCAAAAAAAAATTGAAGAGACACCACTCTTCAAATCTTAAAAGCCGGATTTTCCTGCGTAAAGTTCGGCAACGCTCTTCAGACACAATCTCAGCTTTTCAGAGCTCTTCAGACACAATCTCGGCTTTTCAGATAACGCGTGCAACTTTGTCAAAGATCTCTGACAAAGTTGAAAACACGTGGAGGTCATTATCCCAACTACCACACTTTTGCCGACAAGCGTGGGTGACAAAGCCGCATCCGCACTACTACTTGCCATTAAAATTCCTATATATGTCAACATTCATGGCAAGGCATACATCCAAAAACGCATGACTCTTCTTCTCGGCCGAAAATATAGCTGCAACCAAACCTCTCAACATGCTCAGTTTTCTTCTTCCCTGAAAGACAAAGAGAGAGAGAGAGATCAGTCGACACTTGGAATCAAGCTTCCCGTTTGGAGCCGACTGCCTGGAATCCCTTCCCTAATTGTTTATCCAGCCCTGCTCTCAAGTACTCATCTTCAACTATTGATGTACCCTCAAAGAAGATACCAGATGCCTAGAGTACAGATGAGGCAGGAGGAAACGGTAGATCGAAGCATGTGGAGACAAGCACAACAAATATATGTGCTGATTCATTCGCTGCTTCTTCAAAAGCAAAAGTATCTCATATCATCAAGGGCGAAAGCAAAGGTATCTCATATCATGCTTTTTCCCTGTCTTTTCCTTTGCCCTTGTTCTTGCCTCCAAGGCAAGGAGAAAGAAAGCAATTAGTCGGAACCCGAAATCAAACTTCCGATTTGGAACTGATTGCCCAGAACCTTTGCCTAGTTGCTTACCTAGCATTGCTCTCGAGTGCTCGTCTTCAATTGTTGGTGAGTCTTGAATTCCCTCAGCGCAGACTTCAGGACAGGCGACGAAGTGTCGGCTCTTTACACTGAAGCTGCCAAGCATAGATGAATTGCTGAGAAGTGATGCCTTGAAAGACCATTTAAAGGCAAAGGGTTGCGCACCACCTCGGCTATGTAAAAGAAACAAGCAGAGAAGAATGCGGTACAAGGAGCTGGAACAAACTGCTAGAGCACGACGCCTTCCCCTGCAGCACCATCCAGACAGAAGAGTTTAAGTCAAATCCAAGCTCGACATCATTGTTCTAATCAAAAAGCTCGAGAAGCCTCAACAACCCTCCGATGGCGCCGTCACCAAAGAGCAAAGTATCTCATATCGTCAACACTTCTTCAAAAAGCAAAAGTATCTCATATCATGCTTTCTCCATGTCCTTTCCTTTGTCCTTGTTCTTACTCGCAGGGTAAAGAGAAAGAGAGCAATCAGCCGGCACTTGGAGTCAGTCTTCCGATCTGGAACCGACTACCTGGAATCTATTCCCTGGTTGCTTACCAAGCGTTGCTCTCGAGTAGTCATCTTCAAACGGTTTATACACTTCCAGAGAAGGGACCACATCTGCTTGGAGAACAGCTAAGACGAGTGACAATGAAACATCAATCTTGTGGATTGTCAGCAAACGCAACAACTGCATATGCTAAGTCATCCTCTAACCCTCTTCAATATGAATTGGGAAGATTGAACAAAGAAACAGGTCATCACCTCCACCTCGTGCTTGCCTGCCATGTGTCTGAATCCTGAAACCGCTCATGGTCCTATTTTCACTCAAGATCAAGCCTCGATGGCCCTTGAAGAAATCACAAGTCCGATTCAAAATCAAGTGTTCACCACCCTTGAATCAAATTCAACTCCAGATAAAAGGAGTAAGTTCAGACCTTCGGGGGAGACCAAAAGAATCCTCCAGCCCAGTTCAAGATTAAGCCTGTGGAAAATCAACGATTGGAGGAAACCAGAAAATCTTCCAGTCGAACTCAAGATCAAGCCTCGATGGCCCTTGAAGAAATCACAAGTCCGATTCAAAATCAAGTGTTCACCACCCTTGAATCAAATTCAACTCCAGATAAAAGGAGTAAGTTTAGGCCTTTGGGGGAGACCAAAAGAATCCTCCAGCCCAGTTCAAGACTAAGCCTGTAGAAAATCAAAGATTGGAGGAAACCAGAAAATCTTCCAGTCGAACTCAAGATCAAGCCTCGATGGCCCTTGAAGAAATTTCCAGCCCAATTCAAGATCAAGCCTCGACGGCCCTTGGGTTGACATCTACATTAAGGGACTTCAAAACGCATCTTCTACACGTGACAAGCACATGTCTACGACGCGCCTTGAAGTGGGGGCATTTGTAGACATCGAAATTTCGATGAAACAAATGTTCACCAACGTATTAAAGTTTTGACGTGTCAGGGCATACATGGCATACGCCACGTGTCGTACAAATTGTACACATGGCATGTGACTCAACAAAATAGGAAGAAATACCCTTGGATGATTAAACAAGTTTTTCTTCTCAATTTGGGCAATGACAAGGTAAGCACATTTCAATCCATTACGGATCAAAGCAAGTTTTTCTCATTCGGGCAATGACAAAGCAAGCACATTTCAAGTTTAAAATTGTATTAAGTGGGAAATTAGGCCATAAATAAGACCACTTCAATTTCAATATTGCATTAAGTGGAAAATTAGGCCATTTGTTAGACCACTTCAATTTCAATATTGCATTAAGTGGGAAAATTAGGTAATAGTGCTTGGGTGGGAAAATTTTGTGGTGGTGATTCACTCTCAAAGCCTATAAATAGGCTTCTCCATCAAGAGGAAAAAAGACCAATTCACAAATACATTTCTCTACTCCCAAAATGGAAGAGAATACTCCCCACACATCCAAAATCCTTGAAGCTTTGAAACTCTAAAGCTCTCAAGCACTCTTCATTCTTCGTCAAATCCTCCTTCAAGATCAAGCCCCGATGGCCCTTGAAGAACTTCCACCAACTCAAGATCAAGCCCTGACGGCCCTTGAAGAAAGTGTTCATCGTTCATCCTAAGATCAAGCCCCAACGGCCATTTGGATCAACATCAACAAACAAACCCATACACCCATTCTTCAAGATCAAGCCCAAAAGCTCTTGAAGATCCGCTCATCCATCAACCTTCAAGATCAAGCCCCGACGGCCCCTTGAAGAAAGTGTTCATCATTCATCATCCGTTCATCCTAAGATCAAGCCCCAACGGCCCTTTGGATCAACAACCTCAACAAACCCATACACCCATTCTTCAAGATCAAGCCCAACGCCCCTTGAAGATCCATTCATCAACTGTTCATCCTTAGATCAAGCCCCGACGGCCCTTTGGATCAACAAATCATCCACAAACCTACACCCTACGAAGATAGAATTCGAGGATCAAATTACAAAGAGATCGTAACCCCAAAATCATCAAAGCAAAAAATATTATTTTGTACACGTTATTCTTGTCTCTTGTGTTTCAGGAATTTTTCGTGTTCACAGGGTGGCGCAAGGGTTCATTAAGTCATCCGACGAAAACGAGTGTTTGGAGGATGTTGCATTTGAATATTACAAGGAATTGTTGCGCAAATCATTTTTTCAAGAAGAAAAAACACATGAGTCTGGTATAATAAGAACATGTAAAATGCACGATCTCATGAATGAACTTGCAATCTTAGTGTTGGGGGTCGGAAACGCCACAGTTGATCTGAACCAAAAGAATTTTCATGAAAAACTTCGTCACATATCTTTCAATTTTAATATTAATTTGTTGGAATGGGAAGTGCCGACTTCGTTGCTAAAAGCAAATAAGATGCGAACTTTTCTTTTTCCTTGCCAAAAGTATTGGATTGATAGAGATGGGTCATTATGTAATTCGTTTTGTGCTACAATTGTTTCAAATTTGAAGTCATTACGTATGTTGAGTCTCAATACATTGGGAATTACAACATTACCTAATTGTCTTAAAAAAGGGAAACATTTGAGATATCTTGATCTTAGTGATAATCCCATGGAGAGACTTCCAGATTGGATAGTTGGACTTTCGAATTTGGAAACACTAGATCTCACAGGATGTCGGAAGCTTGTGGAATTGCCTAGAGACATTAAAAAAATGATCAACTTAAGGCATCTCATCTTGGAAGGCTGTTCTCATTTGACTCGAATGCCACGTGGACTTGGTGAATTGAATGGTCTTTGTACATTGGATAGATTTGTTTTTAGCAAAAGCAATTCCTTGTTGAGGGACAGTGCTGGTCTTGGTGAACTGGGAAGGCTTAAGGAATTAAGGAGAAAGTTAGTTATTAGAAATTTGGGCCACAAGAAAGATGTGAAGTCAGAATCAAATGGTGGTGCACTTCTGAAGGAGAAGCAACATCTCTGTTCGTTGTGTTTGTATTGGAAAAAAAAAGATGTAAACGCGGTTGATGAGGAGGATATTATAATGTCAATGGAAGTATTGCAACCCCATTCTAATCTAAAGGAGTTGACCGTGCGGTATTATGGTGGTGTGAGGTTTGCGAGTTGGTTTTCTTCTCTCATTAATATTGTTAATCTCACGTTGGCTTCCTGTGAGAGATGCCAACATCTTCCACCCTTGGATTATTTCCCATTCCTTAAGTCTCTTAAACTTGAAAGGTTGACGAAGTTGGAGTACATATCAGACAATGAGAGCAGTAATAGTATGAATGATGAGATGGTGAGGACGTCATTCTTTCCCTCCCTGGAGAAACTCTGCATAGAAAATTGCCCTGTTCTGAAGGGATGGTGGAGGGCGCACACTCATAACTGTGCTTTTTCTTCATCAACCGAAAATCTGCCGTTCCCGTTGCCTTCATTTCCCTGTCTTTCTACATTGAGCATCTTTTATTGTCCTAATCTTACTTCCATTGCTCTGTATCTGAATGTGCATACATTATATCTCAATAGACCCAGCTCGAGGGTTGTTCATTCCTTGTTTGTTAGAGGAGCATCTGATATTACACATGATGTTGGTGTTGATGTTGATGTTTCTGCCTCTTCTTCTTCTTCCCCTCACCTCTCCAAATTAACGCATTTGTCACTTGATGGAATTGAGGATTTAGAATGTGTAACGTCGGAATAGATGGGCAACCTCACATCACTCCAATCACTTTCCATTCGAAAGTGCCCGAACTTGGCATCACTACCAGAAGAAATAAGCAATCTGCAACAACTTCAAATTAGTAATTGCTATAATTTGGCATCGCTGTCAGAAGGGATTCGTGGATTCCCTTGTTTAAATACATTGCAAATTTGGGATTGCCTGAAAGATGCTAGAAAGAAACAGGTGAGAACTAGCCTAAGATTGCTCACATCCCAAATATTCAAATTATTTAAGGTGCTTTTTCTAACTTGTTTGAATTTACAGTTACCTAATTCAGTATAAACTATGAAATATTCAAAATGCGAATCTCATTTCTTAATTTTATTCTTCATTCATCATCACCAGCATTTTATTTTTCTTTTCAGATGATATACAATGTAGAGCAAAGATTTCGTCGTCCACACTTTTGCTTTCTCACCCACTAACTTCAATTTTTTTTTTTTTTTTGTCGATGTAATTTCCTTCTTTTCAATTATATAGTCTCATATGCAGTGAATGGGGTGCCATCCTTTTTGGTTCAATATGTGATGCCCATGTTGACTGCTTTGAGTGGTTGTATATGATTTTGTTTTTGATCGTCTAGAATTTGGTACTATGTTCCCCCATTGTATGTGTTTTTTCTTCAAGTAATATAATATGGGCGTGAGGGTCTAGCCCCCCAGCTTCGACTAGGTTCCAACCCTTTTTAAATACTTCTTTTTACTATATGTTGATGTATTGGATGCGAGACAACTTTTGTCACGTTATAACATATAAGTGACATAATTATACACAAAGAATAGTAAAAAGAATTACGATATGAAAGTGGAAAATTATATAATATATATATATATATATATTATAGAATACATATATTAAAACACATTTTTGCCTAAAACACTGTTAAACAGTATGCTTCCTATTTTGCCTCCACATGGTTTTTTATGTTTCATTTCTGTCACTTGATCACTACTTGACATTCTGGGATCGCACTGACTCGCCCCTTCCTTCTATTCCAACCAAAAGCTTTTGCTCCAAAGTGCAGACAAATAAGCAGCCATTGCTGCTCTTTCCCTCTCATATTCTCTCTTTGATTTCGTCCAATTATATTTTTAATTTTTTTAGACTTTAAAAAGAAAAAAACGCATGCCATTTTTTCATTGAGTCAAATAAAAAATAGGGAACTTTAACGAAAAGCTCCTGGTGCTGTTCACTTTAATAAAAAACTACAATTTTACACTAAAAAGTCAATCCTAGTACTATTCACTTTACCATTTATTTTGTCCTTATAGTTAAAACTTAAAGTTTTCAAGCTTTTTACATTAATTTTCCTTAAAAAATAAGGATATAGAATGCTTACTAGTAAATACCAGTATTATCTTTTTAAATCAAAGACAAAATCCAAAATTTCATAATCAAATGTCACTTAGAACTACGGCCTAGTGTTATTCCTCTTCACTTATAAGTGCGAGATCTTAGGTTGCATTCTCGGCAAATATGAATTTGAACCACATTATTGCTAGTCCATTATGAGGCTAAGCTAACCCCCCTTTAGTGTAGATAATATCGTTTGTTTAAAAAAAAATCAAATAAAAAAAAAAAGAATATAGAATTCTTACTAGTAAATACCAATGTATTATCTTTCTAAATCTAGAGACAAAATCCATAATTTCAAAATTCAGCACCCCTTGTGTTGACACAACGTTTCCCTTTCACCACCTTTCTTTAATCTTTGGGATCTTTGAGGCCCTTTTTAGAGAGAGAAACATAGAGGAGAGAGAAAATCTCTCTGGCCCAATTCCAGTTCGAAGAACTCTAGCCCACCAATCTTCTTCATCTAAGAACTCTTTCTCTAACCCGCACATCTTCTTCATCCAATCTCTCCCTTTCTACCCAAGTAATCGACTTCATAACTCCCAAATCCACAAATTTGAGTGCCCAAATTTCATTCGAGTTAGATTCAAAGCCTCTAGTTAGCGGCAAGTACTATGAATTCGAGGCAAAACCCTCAAATTCTGAAGCAAACGGATCCGAAACCTGCCACCCCGACCTTGGATCTAGTTTGCGAGTTCAGACTAGGTCGCCGCGAAGCCCGATATGGTTCATAAAGTGATTTCAAACAAAGAGAAGAAGAAACATTGTTGGGGAGTCTGACAAAGGTTGTTGGATTTGAGAGAGGTGATGGAATCGGCGACATGCGGGTTGGTTTCTTAATTTCGATTTTTACCTTTTCATTTGAGGTTTTGTGAACTGGGTTTGCTAAATTTCACTTTTTGATTGATGAATTTTTAGAGTTGGAGTGATCAATTTGATGTTTCTTGGAGGAGATCCAAAGCCTTCAATTTTGATTTTTTATTTTTCATCATTTCTCTGATTTGTACGTGGGTTTTCGTTTCTTATGTCTTCTCCCTCCCTTTACTCCCTCGCTCGATCCAAATTTACAAGCACTAAAATAAGGTTTGGTTTTGGCTTCCATTAAATTGAAAAAAACGTATTAAAGGTCAGTTGCCTTTTGGAGAAAAGATAAATTTGAGAGAAAAGAGAGAAATTAGAGTGGAAAAAAGAAAGAAAGAAATCTAAGAAGAAGATTGCCGTTCCCCCTTTGCTTTTGAGTGAATTAGATTCCAAAATGTGGAGCAAAAAATAATCAAGAAAAATATGGAGGCGACAAGTGGACTTTTAGGTTAAAAAGATAAAATTACCCTTGAGGCACATCGGGACTCCCACACGTATACAACTGACAATAATGGCTCAATCAAGGTCAAGGGTGACCTCAATGGTATTCCTTTATACCCTCTCATCAAATCTTCACCCACAAGGTAACTTCCAATTATTCTTTTAAAATTGGGAGTTATTGACAAACTTAATTGATTAATTGCTATATTAATTGCAAGATATTATTTCATATAATATCTTGCAATCAATCCCACAAATCAACCAAATGTGGCCGGTCCTAATTCTCCTAATAGGACCGACCACACCCCTATATATAGCCACTCATTTTCTCCAAAATCTAAGTTCAATTCTCTTCTAAAATTCTCTAAACACTTTCTCTCTCAAATTCTAACTTTGGCATCAGAGATTCTTTGGCCAAAGCCCCCTCATTTATCGTGGGAGCTTGAGGCTCTTGGCCTTGATCTTAGGTGTTAATTGTTTTGCAAGTGCATTTTCGTCCAAGAATGAGAAGGCGGAAATTTGTATCCACAAATTGGTGCTTTCATTGAGAGTCTTGATTTACACGCTTGTAGAAGACTCTCGCATTCAAGATTTCTAATTTTTTGTTCATTCATAGATTTTTTGTATGTTCTTACTTTTAGAATTTTTTTTTTTATACAAAAATCCTTTGAATAAACGTAAAAGAAATGTACAATGACAAGAGATTCGGAAACCACGACGAATGAAAATTCCAACGTTCACGAATTTGGACCACGGCAATCCATGAGGCTTAACACGACGATGAGTAGAGCGGCACCACCCCCATGGGGCACCACCGTGGTAGTAGCCATGACAGCAACCTTCGACGAGCCCACTGCTCAGGGTAAGCAGGCCACCTCGCAACAACAGGCCCAAGCCCGTGCCACAAGGCAGCCAGCACAAACTGAGCAGACCATGGCCCAAAAGACGCAAGCCTTAAAGGCAGCCTAACTTGCAGCCACTTTAGCAGTCAAAGCTTGGCACGCCCAGGCCCACGCCATGGAGCGACGCCAAACCCAGGCCTACGCCATAGAGCGACGCCAAGTCTAGGCCTGCGAAGCACAACAGCCGGGCCAAAGCCATGCCTGGGAAGAAGCAGGCCCAGCGCCCACACCCAGGCCCATGCAAGGTAGCCCACGCACGTGGCCCAGCCTATTCCAACAATCTGACCTGCTCCCGTTGTCCAATTCGGGATCCAGCCCACTCCCATGTCTTTCCAAGTAGCCCAAACCAATCCGAGACCGATTCAATCGTCCCAGATTCAGATTTCTGGACCGACGATTGAACTAGAGGCATTTTCACCTTATTTCTTCGCAGATTTAACATTTCCTAACTCAAATTTTACACCCGGAGTCCATTACTCTTCCATTACTCAAAGAGACCATATTGTCTAAGCTTGTCTAACCCGAATGGCGAACCACACTTGTCTCGATAAGTCATAGAGTTAATAAGCGCCCTCGCACATCAGACGACCTTGGTGAATCAGCTCTTGTAGCTCATCAAGATGCAATGTGCCCTAGACGAGGTGTCCCAAAGCATGATGATGGTAAACAACGAACCTCTTCAGCAGTATCCTGGTAAGCAGCCTCTCAACTAGCCATGATCTGAATGTTTTAGCAGTTTACGCTCTCACCTAGGTCCTCGGGATATCGTATACTCTTGTCTTAGCGCATGGAGGAGCATGCACTCTCAAGACCACGGATGAGCATACGTTCACGGTTGAGGCCACACTCCGATTATTAACATGGACAACCTTTCAGGCGAAGTGTTCATTTGCAACTAGGCTCGTAAGGAGCATTCTTCACCTTACATCGGAGTAGGTAGCACGGCGAACGGAGAGAAGCAATCACTCAATCTGTCTTAAGTTCAACCAGCAGCTTGTGAACAACCCGCTTGTTTGCCAGGAAAGTGCCATATGCATTATAGCCACGACATAAACGTGCCTAGACCAATAGTCACAAGTGGAGGTAGTTGAAATCCACTACCCCAGCAGATGCAAATTTAAGAAGATGTTACTAACAATGCGTTTCGACGAGACATGACCAATATAAGTAGGTCACCATTCACGGATGAGATCGAGTAGACAAATTCACCTTGTAGGTTCATCATGCCTCATTTCACTCCATGATCATCTACATGAACAACGACATCTCAAGCATTATTGCAGTACCATGATCCTCTACATGAACAACGACGCGTTTATGTGCAAAATTTTTGCCACAACTCTACAAGGTGAGGTGCAAGACTGGTTTCACACCCTACAGCTGTAGTCAGTCTGGAGTTTCAACGAACTTTCATTAGTTTTCACTAAGGAATATTCGTCTAACCACTCAATCAAAAGGACATTTGACCATTTCTTCAACATCGTAAAAGACCCTTGGGAGACAATTCGCGACTATGTCAAGAAGTTGAAAAAGGAGAAGGCCAAGATTGTTGGCTGCAACGAAGACATAGCAACTGCAGCATTCAGAAATGAGCTTTCTACCGAACACCCTTTATTCGAAAAATTGATCATGGGATAAGAATTGACATTGGCAACTTCGTAAGCTTTGGCGGAGAAGCACGCACTATGGGATGAGGCTAATCAGTTTAACAAAAACAAGTTAGAAAATAAGCGCATGGAACATTCCCCAATCGGAGAAGACTTAGCGCCCGAAACATTCATCAAGTTCATAGCTCCAATTGGCCAAATTCTCCGTAAACTCAAGAACGAACCTTGGTTCGAACTGCCGTCACCCATGAATGGCGATCTTACCAGGCTGGATGAGACAAAGTACTGCGCATTCCATCAAGGACCAGGCTACACTACCAACGACTCCCAAAAGTGGAAGTAGTACCTTGAGAAGCTGACAAATGAGGGATGGTGCAATGAATATCTTAACAAGTCAACAACATAGCCCACATAAGCAAGGGAAGTCTCCATTACCCCCTGAACCC